GCCAGGGCGGGCAGGGCCGGGGGGCAGCGTGGCAGCCGGCACGAAGCAGCGCAGAGGGCTCCGCGGGCTCTGTGGGCTCCGGGCCCGGCGACGCGGGCGGCCCCGGCGCCGCTCACAGCGGGATGAGCGGGATGTCGGGCGTCACTTGCAGGCTCGGCCCGGCAGGGCCCCGTTTCTTGGCGCTGCTGCGGCCCATGTCGGCGCGGCGGTATGGGTTGTTCCGCAGGTCTGGGCCGGGTGGACATGGAGCATCCCTCAGTGCCCAGCAAAAACGCTGGGAATGTTCCCACCCATTCCCATGGAGGGACCCGCTCGCTTTTCCCTGCCGCCACCCAGCCCAGCTGGGRCACCAGGATGCCCAAAGGAAGCAGCGGCGGCAGCACCCAGAGCCCCGGCAGCCCCCGGCTCCTCCTGCACCCGCCGGCACCCTCTGGGATGCGGCCGCCCCACGGTACCTACAGGCACTAGAGGGGACTCTCCTCGTTGTAGCTCACGTCGCAGAAGAGCCGGGACGAGCGTTTGCCCGTCCGGGCCGTGAAAGGAACAGTTTTCAGAGCTGAGCAGAGCAACCCAGAGAGCCAGCGAAGAGGAGCAGGAGGAGGAAGAAGCAAAAGAGGAGGAAAGAGCAGTGAGGACGAGCAGAGAGCACTGGCTGTGTGGCAGGGAGGTGCTGCACGTGGATGTGAGCCTCCCCAGGAAAGCCTCTGCACCCCAGGGCGCCCTGGGCATCACCCAGACCCTCACCTGAGATAATGTCCTCGATGGCGCCGTCTTTCCCTTCGTAAATGAGAGGCTCCTTCCCCATCTGCTTCTTCTTCAGCTCAGCGATCATGTCCATCTGCTGCCGCCGGGCTTTGGGGATGGACGGCTGCGGCGGGCAGCACAGAACACCGTGAGACAGGGCCTCCTCCCACTGTGCCCCCACCCAAGGGAGACCCTGCCTCTTCTCCTTGGCATGACCCGCCTCCCCTTTGCCTCCCACCTGCCAGCTCCTCCCAACCGGGCCGCAAGAACCGAGTCACCTTCCCCTGATCTCTGCCACCCTCGGGTGGAGCAGGGTCATGGGCGCCGGGTACCTTCGTGTCCAGCGGCTCCTCGCTGCCGGGGGGGCTCAATTCCGCCTCCTTGGCAGCAGCCTCCTGCTTCTTCCASAGCTCGATGTCCTGCTCTGCTTTCTGGGGACAGGATTTGGGACAATGGGCTGAGCAGGGACCTGCTGCGGTGGCCCCTGGAGCCCATGTCCACCTCAGACCATCCTGCTCCAGCCACCCCAGCAGGCAGCAGCGACGAGGCCCCAGCCGCAACAGACCYTCCCCAAGTCCCCCCAAAACCCAGCTCGGGCGTCTCCTACCTTGTAGGCTTTGATGAAGCGCATGAACATGGGGAAGAACGTGGTGGGCGGGCTGGTCTTGGGGTTCTCCCCRAAGTACTCCACGGCCGACTCATAGGCCTCCTGCGGGCAGAGGGCCCGTGCAGCCCCCGTCACCCATGGCCTCCCCGCGCCGGCCTCCCCTGGCGGCCTCGCGCACCCACCTTGGCGGTCTTGCTGTCGGCCTGCAGCTTCTCCATCACCTCCGAGTTGCTCTTGAGGAAGTCCTTGAGCACGGGGCTGTCGTCCTGCCGCATGAACTCCCTGCGCGTGAGCTCCATGCCCTGCTGCAGGCTGCGCACGTCCTGCAGGACGCCGTCCAGGGAGACTGTGGGGAGGGCACGGGGCGGCGTCAGGGCCCCGCGCGCCGCCTCGGGCCCCTTGCAGAYCCCAGCGGGTGCTACCTGCGCCCGCCTTGTCCAGGAAGTGTAGCTCCGTGTGGAAGCCGGTCAGCTCCGGGTACTTCTCCGTGATCACCCGCACCAGGTAATGCAGCAGCGTTTGCTTCCGATCCGTTGACTTCATCTCCAGCAGCTGGGAGGGAGCGAGCGGCGTCAGGCTGGGGCTGCCCTGTCTGTCCTCCTGCCTCTCCGGCTGCCCCGCGCTCCGCGTGGGCATCCCCCTGTCCCTGCGGATGGTCCCTGCATCCCACTGCCACCATGGGTGGTCCCTGCATCCCTCCATCCCGCAGCTGCTTCCCACATCCTTCCATCCCCAAGACTGGTCCCTGCATCCCTCCATCCCCACGGCTGGCCCCCATATCCTTCCGTCTCTTCAGCTGGTCCCAATGCCTCTCTCTCCCTGGGGCTGTTCCCTGTGTCCCTCTGTCCCTGTACCTGGTCCCCACATCCCTCCATCCCCATCACCAGCCCTTGCATCCATCTGTCCGCATAGATGCTCCTCTGTCCCTCCATGCCCATAGCTGGTCTCTCCACAGGTGTTCCTTCATCTCCATAGTTTGTCTGCGTGTCCCTCCATGCCTCCTGCCGCTGCCCATGCAGTGACAGCGCCTCTGTCACCAYCCCAGCCCAGTGCACAGGGCGCACGGGGAGCCGCGCCGAGCTCACCGCATCGAGGCTCTGCAGCCGGAAGCCGTAGGCGGCCCCACGCTTGCTGCTGTTCATGTAGTTCCCGAAGGCCAGGACGATCTGCAGGGACACGGGCTCGGGCAGCGCCGGGACGCTGGGGCCACGGTGTCCCAGCACCCCTGGCCAGCRCAGGCCAGCAGCACCCGACACGTCCAAACCCCCCTCGCCCTCACCTCGAGGATGTTGCGCAGCTTGGTGGAGGCCTTGAGGGACATGGAGGCGGCGATGATGGCGTTGAGTTGCTGCGGGCGGCAGGGCAAGCCCGTGAGGCTCTGCAGTTCCCTCTCGGCCCTCCACGACCATCCCCAGAGCGCCCGTGCTGCCCGGCTCTCCCACACAGAGCGCCCACGTCCCGCCTTCCCCACCGTGCCCTGCGCCCCGCGGCGCCCGGTGCCCGGCCCTACCGGCATGAGCAGCTGGGCCGTGTCGCTGAAGTTGCCCAGGAAGATCATGACGTTCATGCGCTCGGAGAGGCGCGGGATCTTGCTGAACCTCAGCATGAACTGGTCCTCATCTGAGAGCTCCTCGGGCGGCTGCTGGTCCCGCTCGTACTTGGAGATGAGCGTCCGCTCGTACTCGGTGGGCAGGAAGCGCAGCAGCAGCTCCAGGAAGTCGAGGCTCAGGGCTTGCTGGTCGTACCTGGCAGGGGACACCAGGTGGTGGGGACACCCCCCTTGCCCCGCCGCCTTCCTGCACACTCTGCTGTCACCCGGCGTACAGATCCAAAGCACCCCTGGGCCGTCCGTGCGCAGCCCGCCCCTGCTCAGGGGTCTGGATGGTGGTCTGGAGTCTGCAGCACCATCTGCCCCCACTCCACCCTCCATCCCTGCGCTCAGCCCGGCCTCGGTGCCGAGGGGACACTCACGTCTCGATGGCCGTGCAGATGTCCTGGACGCTGCGGCCACCCTTGCGGAGCGTGATGGCCAGGTTCTTGGCCCGGTTGGACTCGATGAGGGTCACCTTGCTCGGGGCCTTCTGTGTAGCCTTGACCTTGAGGGCGCTGAGGTCCAGGCCGGGGCCCTGGGCCTTGGTTTTGAACTGCTCCTCAAAGTCGCTCATGTCCAGCTCCTGTGTGGAGACGGGGCTGAGGACACGGCCCAGAGGGCGCGGGAGCTGGAGGGAGCACAGGACGGATGTGGCAAGGATGGAGAGAATGAGGCAGGGTGAGGGAACAAGGGTGAGGGGAGCAGAGGAACAAGGGGCCAGAGGACAAGGATGGGCCAAAAAGACATGGACAGGGCGAGGGGATGAGGACAGGGAAGAAATCAAAATGGAGGAAAGGGATGAGGATGGGGCAAGGGGACAAGGACAGGACAAAGGSACAAGGACACGGCAGATCCCAGATTGTCCCCTCCAGGACAACAAAAGGTGCTCCAAGGCTCCTCCAAGGCTGGAACTGTGCACAGCATCGACTCCACGGATGGGGAAGATGGGGACAGGGCTGAGAGGCGGGCACAGGGGCGAGGCGCCCGGGCGCCACGCCGGCYGGCACCCTGCGCGGGCGGCCTCACCTGCAGCACCTTCTCGTCATTGAGCTCCGTGAAGACGGTGCCGTCGATCTGGCTGGGCTTGAGGGCCACCCAGTTGAAGACGGGCATGCGGAACTTGGTCTGGATGGGCTTCTTCACCTTCACTGGGGGCAAGGCGGGAGCAGCGTCACCCCAAAATATCCCCGCGGGGCGGGGGTCACCCCTGCACCTCAAGCCCCAGCACGTCTCACCTGAGCCGGCGGCGGGGGCCGCATCCAGCCCGKCCGGGGGCTCCCCGGCGAGCAGCG